TAATGTTTTCAATAATGTGCACTCCCCTATGTATATATTACTATAACCAGCTTTATTTAATACTCAACGTTCTGTTCAATTCCTGTCCCAGCCATTTCATGCTTTACTATTACAATTGGCAGTTTAAAATGACATCTATGAGTTATTGATGCCAGTCAAGTGTTTTTGATAATGTATAAAATTTTTAATTCACCTAACTTCACACATAATATAATTTTAAAATGTTGTGTTTTAGATATCCGGGGACTACAGGGCTTCCTGGACCAAGCATCCAGATTAGGACTTGATGTATCATTGCAGAAAGTTGACAGAAACATCAGCAGAGTTTTTGCCAGCCTTTTTACCTCTATGAAAACCGAGGAACTTAACCGCTACCGTGACACCTTACGAAGAGCGATACTGCTTCTGAGTCCAAGGGGAGCGCAGAACTTCATTAATGAGGTCAGTCACCTTTTTGTTCTAATACCTCTGGCAACACTTTTCAAATCTCTCTTGTGGGTCTCCTGAATATTATAAGAGTGCTGCAGTAAACATATCTTCTTCTAATTCCTTGTCTTTCAAAAAAATTTTAACAATATATAGACTTCTCCGCAAACTCCAAAACAAAACTGGTTTGGCATTTTTTTTTTTAATCCGGAGACAAATAGTTCCCACAAAGTAATTGGTGGGGAAGACTAACATACATGCTGTCAGGATACTTCTGTAGAAGATTTTTCTGATATAACATTTTTGTATATAATTTAATGTGACCCACTGGCCAGGCTATGGATATCAAACATCATTTTTAATGCACGTTACAAGCATAAAACATTGCCGTAAAAAAAGCTTGGCGTGAATTCAAATGATGCAATAACTGAGCAGTAATTCAGTCTGGAGTTCATGGTCAAAGTAGCTTGTGTTTAAGGCTGGCCATAGATTATTCAATTGTATGAAAAACCCCAACAGGCTCAATTGATAGACTTCAGTACAACCAGCCTGCTAAACCAGCAAAATTTTGATCTGTCTATGGCCGACTATGTTGTCTGTCTGAGCTGCTGTCCCTACTGTCACCCGTAACATTGCAGTCTTTTCTTTTCAGTCTAATCTCAGTTGATCACTGACATGCTGTGAAGAGTAAACAATACACAGGAGCAAGAGCCTATACTTTGACTGTGTGTTTTATGGTTTGCAGGTACACTCCCAAATGCAGCAAATGCAGCAAGGAGGTCACGTTACCTTGGGAGGTACTTTTCTTAGGAGGAACCAGGGACAGAGTAAATGGGAGGGACAATAACTAAGGACAGTTGATAATCATTGACATCTCCCTCTGAATGTTCAGAGGAACCAAAAACATGCCTAAAGCTGGCCATACCCAACTTTAAATTTTGACTGATTCAGCAGTAGGAAATTCATCATGGATAGCCCAGTCGACGCCACCAGGCTAAATAAAGGATGATTTAAAACCTTTTGTTTGAATATTGACTTGCGTCTTATCAGATTGAGTATTCAAACCGCTGCTAGTGCTGTGGCTGCCTAAGGTAAATACAGTAGCCAGCAGTGCAGATTCCTTCTGAAAGCAATGGGGGAAAATTGCCTTTAAGTGCAGACAATATAAAACTTTTTTATTAAAAGAAAGCATGGCAAATGGCCACTCACATGATACAAATATGCAGTAGGCTCATCACAATAGTGAAGGTCCAGGACGCTGAGAGGAATGTCCGCTATGGAGCAGCACTGGAATGCAGTGTGGTCAACGGTGTCTGCAGGATGACGTCACTGAGACAGGCGCGTGAACAATGGATTTCAGAGCATTTCCATGTTGCCTATGGGCATGGTCGCTCTTTCATCAGGCTGAGCTCGAATGGAGCATGGTGAATGCTCTGAAATGTGTTGTTTGCTCCTGTCCCAGTGATGTCATCCCGCAGATGCCGTGGACCATGCTGCATTCCAGCGCCATCTTGGAGTATTCCCCCGGGCTTTCTTACACATCACACAAAGTGGCAGCAGACCCTGGTAGTGGACTTTCCTCTCAGCATCCTGGACCTTCACTATTGTGATGAGCCTTCTATTTGCTTGTATCTTGTGAGTGGCCATTTGGAATCTTTTGTTTTAATAAAAATGTTATATTGTCTGTGCTTAGAGGCACTGTTTCCCCCCCTTCCTTTCTGTTCCATACATACAGAGCCTTCTTCTGCTCATTGGAAGAGCCTGCCTGGTGAACGGACTATTTTGGATTTTGATTTAATTTGTGAACATATAAATTCATTTACCTGGTTGTAGGGAAATTTGAACCTGTTTGTGCCTACATCTCTTCTAATTTGATTAGTGCATTCTTTCATCCACCCTGCTTAGCAAGGATTTGGGAATTAACTGATTTCTCCATTTCAGCCCACTGGGGTAAAGGGAAGAAATATATAATCATCCATGGCAAGCTAACTGTACCAGCCCAGTGTGGAGTCCCAAGAGAAAAAAAATTTGAGTAGTATTTTTTTATCCTCAGGACACTTATGTCTATTTATTACCAGTGGGTCAGTGATCAGTGTTTCCATGGTCAGCTTACAGTCTAGCTGCCTTAGTCTGTTTTTTTTTTTTTCTTAAGCTTTTGGAGGTATTTTTCTTCCTTTAGCAAATAGTATTTTATCCAAAACAATAAGTATAAAAAAACTAACTATATAAATTGATAGGTAAAAAGATAGGTATTTCAGAAGGATAAATGGAACAAAGCATAATTTTATCTCTGCCAGACAGAAAGAAATTGAGAATTTTGGAGCAGGATGACCTCAGATGAACATGAAGTCTGTCATGCTAGCAGTGACAGTATCCTAATGCCTTTTCTATCAAACACTTCTGACAGAGTTTTACTGCATCGATGCAATGGAGCAGAAAGGCCAGCAGCTTTATCAATGAAGAAATTTATTTATTTTCAAGGTCAAAAAACAAACAGTGCAAATGCAATGTCCAAAACGATAATCACTCTGAGGAAAAAATGATAGAAAGTAGGTATTTTAATATAGAATATCTCCTCTGTTGGGGCTTAAGATTGAGTCCGTTGATCTTTTCAATATCATCTTGTCATTTCATACATTATTATGTGTCTATCACATATAAAATAGTGAGAACCCAATACATTTTCTTTCAGATTTAATTATGTTAGGTAATACTTGAGTGAAATTTGGCTAGCACAACTTTTTATTTAGGGCATTTTGTCAACAAATTAGCTGTTAGATATACTGCAGGTCTGAAAGCACCCATTGACATGAGATGACATATATGTCTGGCTTGGTTGATAGTCTTTTGTTTATGAAGACAGGTCTTGTAGATACCACCAACTTATTGTCCTCCAGAGAAACCATTGCCTGACCCTTGATTCTCCTGAAATAGGTTGCTGCTAGATTGGTCTGTGGATCACTCTACTAAAGAATTTTGCAACACAAACTATTTTTTACACATCACAAACAAGTTTTTTTTATTTGATATTTTTTCCATGATATTTTATTATACGACTAAATTATGTTTTACAGAATCATTATTGAATCCTGATACTTAAACACCAAAGTATTCCAATTTTTGAGTCTCATTAGTATTCTGCAATCCTGTTTGTACAGTATATCAGTGTTGTACACGGTTATATATAAACACTTCAACTTAGTGGTTATAAACCTCTAACATGAAAAATTAACAAACTGTGTCCTTCTATAGTGTGTATCTGTCTCAATCCAAAGCATTAAGTGCCACTTCTCTCCTCTCTCTGATGCTTCTGCTAACTGCATGAGTAACTGATAATACTCTTTGCAGACACAGCAGCCTCCAGGGAGACAGCCCACTCCCCCTCCAGCACACAGCAGGTGATTCATAGCCTGAGCTCTGTTTTTTTTTTTCTATGACCCTTTGCACAGGAGGTGTGTCCCTTACCTCCACTCAGTTCTCAGATTACAGGGAAAACTGTGCTCTAGCTCAGCAGCGTGTGTGATGTCAAAGCCCTGTCTCCTGATTTCTGCTTCTGAGAAAAATCCGTTGATCTGAGTACTTTGAACTGATGTAGAGAAGAGATGGCTATAGATATAGATACAACTTATGTAGTAGGATTTATTTAATCTCTGTGTTTCACCTGAGGCTAGTCACTTCAGTTGTTATAAGTAAGGGTTTACAACCACTTTATAGTATAACTGAAACTTTATTTTTTTGATGAGTGGAGAGGGATCCGAACACCTGTCACTTGGAAAATAAAAGAAGATTTTTTAAATATGACAGATATTAAACTTCTCCCCGTACTATATGTCAAGGGGGGGGGGGGGGGCAGTGGGCACAGCTGCTGCTATGGGAATATGTTATGTGTTCCAAAGGTGGACTTATCCTTTAACTCTCAGGAAGCTCAGTGGCAAAATGTCTTCAATATTATCAAAAAAGTCAATTTGGATGTTACCATAACCTGGATAAATGAGAACCTTCAAAGACACTTTAGGGTAATGGGTTGTGTTAGAAACCTCAACATAGGTCACACAACACAACAAAAGTCACAATTTAAATATTCCATAATGACCAAACATTTTTTAAAATTAACCACTAGCCACTTATACCCCCTGCCCAGGCCAATTTCCAGCTTTCAGCGCTGTTGCACTTTGAATGACAATTGCGCGGTCATGCAACACTGTACCCATATGAAATTTTTAACTTTTTTTTGTGACCGAGCTTTATTTTGGTGGTATCTAATCACCTCTGGGTTTTTTTCATTTTTTCTTAAACAAACCAAAAACCACTGAAGGTTTTGAAAAAAAAGTTTTTTCTTAGTTTTTGTTATACAATTTTGTAAATACGTGATTTTTCTCCTTCATTGATGTGCGCTAATGAGGCTGCAGTGATGGGCACTGATAGGCTGCACTGATGGACACTGATAGGTGGCACTGATGGGCACTGATGAGGAGGCAGAACTGTTAGGCGACACTGATAGGCAGCACTGACGGGCACTGATAGGCGGCATGGATGCACACTGATAGGCGGCATGGATGCACACTGATAGGCGTCACTGACTGGCACTGATAGGTGTCACTGATTGGCAGCACTGATAGGTGGCACTGACTGGCACTGATGGGTGACACTGAAAGGCAGCTCAGATGGGCACTGATATGTGGCATTGATGTGGCACTGGCAGGTGGCATGGATGAGCACTGAGAGCTAGCACTGATGGACACTGACAGGTGGCACTGCTGGGGCTACACAGATCATCAGGGCACACTGATCATCAGTGCCCTGATGATCTCTGTACATGTCCCCTCCGAGGAATGACGATTACCGGCTCTCCTCTCCTCTCAAGCTGTCAGTGTGACAGCTCATGGGGATAGAAATGCCGATAACCGGCATTTCCCTGTTTACATGTGATCAGCTGTGATTGGACACAGCTGATCACATGACCGAGCCAGCATCTTCGGCTTTTTTTCCGTGGATCGGTGATCTGCTGTGTCTGGTGAGAATGGGAGGACATCATATGACATCCTCCCAGAATGAGAGAACCACCTTATGTCCGTCATATTATGTATGGTGGGCGGGAGGCGGTTAAAAAAAAAAAACCCTGTTGTGTTTGCTATAAGTTTCTTGTTGGGCCAGGCCAGACAGTTTATTAGTCATGTTCAGATTTGTATTTAAAAATTATCTTAACATGCTTTTACATACACACACATATAGATAGATAGATAGATAGATAGATAGATAGATAGATAGATAGATAGAGTAGGACAGGTTAAATCCCTGGCAGTTTTTTTGCCATCTGCGTCTCATTGTGAGACCTCTAGACTCAAGTGAGGGGATGTCTTTCCAAAGTGAAGAACGTTCCCTTACAGACAGCTGACAAGAGGAAAAAGTGCCCCCAGTGAAAGATTTCCTCTCAATTGCTATTCTGATGGCAACTCTAAATTTTGGATGTACCCTCACATTCATTCCCTATGACATCATTGGTGATCAGGATAATTTGAGAGAGTGAATCTCCTTAACAGGTACACAGACAGATATAAACTCTTTCCATATCCTAAAAAATGTTTTGTCTTTAGTTATACTTTAAGTTGAAAGAGTAGAGCCATTTACAATAAAAATTGTTTTTCTGAAAAATTACATTTTCTGTATATGCTAAAGTCATACAGGCGAATGGTAGTTTTTCCACTGCTGTTATCGAAAATAGAAACGGCATTTTTGTGTTGTTTTGCCATTTGTAACACAGGTCACACAGGTTTACCAACATTGTTTTGGAGTCTTTTGTGTTTTTTTTTTTTTTTTTTTTTTTTTTTTTTTGGGGGGGGGGGGGGGGGAGGTGATATGCAGTTGTATGCCCAAGATTTTAAGGGTTTGATCATACCAGGTATAGTAGGACTGCTCTGGGCAAGTCCCACCACAGCACACGGCAAAATGCCTTGTTTTTTATGTGAGCAGTTCATATCACCATGATGCTGTGGTGCATGCTGAAAAAAGTACTCCATTTTTTTTTTTGTTTTAATTTTAGCACAATGAGTTGTGACCCGAACCACTGCAATTCAACAATGCTACAGCAAATAGAACTGCACTGAAATGTCACCCATGACCTTTTCCGTAACGTTCTGTAAAAAAAAAAAAAAGTAAAAATGCACTTCTGTTCTCCTAGTGCACACCAAAGCATGCATTCAGTGCAGTTCACTAGTGTGGACAAGCCCTAACTGCTAAGCAGCACATTTTGTACTTTCTGATACTATAACCATCACTCTGAGACAGACCACCTGAGAAATAACCAATCCATCTGACACAGGGAGAAAAACCAACACTACATCTTCCTCACCACACACTGTAGTGCTTTGGTGCCAGTCAATTGCTGGACACCTGCTGGGCTTGTGTAAATTTTTTATTTTTATTAGGAATTGTAAACATATTGATAGAAGTTTGCATTTCAGTAAACATTTTTTTGTAAGCCTTTATAGAGTCAACAACCCTCAGCAAACAGTTAGAATTCTGATTAACAATAAGAACTTTTTTTTTTTTTTTGAACCAGGCAGTTGTGATATATATATATATATATATATATATATATATATATATATATATATATATATATATAGTCGGGGGGTGGCTCAGGTGGGGGATCACCTTCCCTGGGAAAAGGGTAGTCCAAACAGCAGGGCTTTCTTAAAATCTGACTTGTCATCAGTTTTATTTACAAGGTTGCAAGCATCAAAACAAACAAAACAGAAAATAAATCCTCGCTATCCTGGCACTAACTAAACACAGAAGATTCCTCTCTCAAAGGTGAAGGGCTTCTCCCTGTCACCAACAAAATGAAAACAGAATGCACACCTTTTCCTTCCATGTATAACACAAACTTTCATCCACAGCTCACTCTGATATGACTCTCTGAGTCCCAGGGCAAGAGCAACTTCTTGCTCCAGTCCTACCTACTTTATACCACCTGCTGGTGGTCATCAGTGGACTACAAAATCCGGTCAGGTACTGCCTCTGCCATAGTGGCCTGGAAAACCCAGACTGGACTCCCCCTTAAGCTCCCAGATATGAACGTATGCGAGGTGACACATAACACCCATCAATCACCTCGCCTTTCATACTGTCACAATATATATACACTTAATTGCCAAACGTATTAGTATTATCCAGAAGCACATTTGTGAGGTCAGGCTCTGATGTTGGACGAGAAGGCCTGGCTCACAATCTCTGCTCTAATTCATCACAAAACTGTTCTATTGGGTTGAGGTTAGAACTCTGTGTAGGCCAGTCAAGTTCTTCCACCCTAAACCTGCTCATCTCATGTCTTTATGGACCTTGCTTTGTGGACTGGTGTGCAGGCATGTTGGAACACTAAGGGGCCATCCTCAAACTGATCCCACAAAGTTGGGAGCATGAAAATGTCCAAAATGTCTTGGTATGCTGATGCCTTAAGAGTTCCCTTCATTCAAACTAAGGGGCAAAGCCCAACCCCTGAAAAAAACAACCTCACACCATAATCCCTCCTCTACCAAACTTTACACTTGACATAATGCAGTCAGGCAAGTACCGCTCTCTTGGAAACCGCCAAACCCTGACACGTCCATCAGATTGCTAGACAGGGAAGCGTGATTCGTCACTCCAGAGAACATGTTTCCACTGTTCTAGAGTCCAGTTGTGGCATGCTTTACACCACTGCATCCAAATCTTTGCATTGCATTTGGTGATGTAAGGCTTGGATGCAGCTGCTCGGCCATGGAAACCCATTCCATGAAGCTCACTATCCGCTGTTGTTGTGCCAATCTGAGGGCCACATGAAGTTTGGAGGTCTATTGACTCTGCAGACAGTTGGTGACTTCTGTGCACTGTGCTCTTCAGCATGCGCTGACTCCTCTCTGTCATTTTACATGGCCTACCACTTCGTGGCTGAGTAGCTGCTCCCAGTTGCTTCCACTTTGTTAAAATACCACTAACAGTTGACCTTGGAATATTTAGTAGCAAGGAAATTTCATGGATGGACTTATTGCACAGGTGGCAACCTATCATGGTACCACATTTGAATTCACTGAGCTCCTGAGAGTGACCCATTCTTTCTCAAATGTTTGTAGAAACAGTCTACATGCCTAGATACTTGATTTTACACAAATGTGCGCATGGAGATAATTGGAACACCTGAATCCAATGATTTGGAGAGTTTTTTTTTAATTTAGTTAGCTACTTTGACTGTAAACACACATTTCAACTAAAGGGGACATTGTTTAGCAAGCCCAAAACATAAAACAAACACAAATCTCGTCTGAGTAATGGGGTACCCCTAATGGGTTCCCCCAAAAGAAACAGGCATCATGGGTATCTTTTGTCATGTCCTGTCAACATCCAGCAGTCGCCTATCACAGTAGTCAGGGAATAGGAGAGCCCAGAGAATCAGTCAGCTCACATATATAAAAGCCTATGCACAGCTAAGACTCAAAATGAGAACTGGCTAACAGGTAAGCTGTGGACCTGGGTATGGAGGCTTAATCCCACACAAATCTCTACAAAGCCTCCGAGCTTCAAGGTTCAGGCCAGACCTTATTAAGATTCTGAGAAAAAAAAATGTTTTTCTGCGCATCAGCCATCAACTTGGGGACTTGTGTAAGTGGGAAACCTGGTTGACACTATATATATATATATATATATATATATATATATATATATATATATATATATATATATACACAGTATAGTGTTCAGCATAAATGATAAATAGTAGCATCTTCTCTTTCAATATAGAGCAGTACATCTGTGAATTTATGATACCATCAATGAAATGCAGCTCCCCGACACCAGCAGCACTCATGCAGCCCCACAGAATGACACTGCCACCACTATTTTTCACTGTAGGCACCATGCATTTTTTTTTTTGTACTCCTCACCTTTGCAACCTTTGAAACCATCAGTTCCAAAAACATTTATCTTGGTCATCATCACAGAGTACAGAGTCCCAATAGTCTTCTTTTTCAGCATGGGCCCTGGCAAATTCTAGTTGGGCTTTTTTGTGCATGGGTTTTAGGAGAGGCTTCCTTTGTGGACGACATCCATGTATGTCATTCCTCTGCAGTGCATGCCTTATTGTGTCACAGGAAATGATCAACCTAGTTTGGCTTTCTACTTCATCACCTTTCTTGTGTAAAAAATGATTTTCTTTCTCAGGCCTTGTTATGTGGTGCCATTGCTGACAGCATGAAATGGGAAGGGGTTTTCTTTGTTAAGTAATGCCCTTTTCTAATCAACTGTCTGCTGAACACTTATTTAATGAATAATTAGACTCGCCTGTAGTTGAATTCTTGTTAATAAGGATTTTGTTGTCTAAAACTGAGCTTTGCTCCTAGGACTTTCATTGGGGTGTATTCATATTTGCAACATGGTCTTGAATGAATTTGTTAGGAAAAATCCTTTTTTAGTGTGTGCAAATTAGGAAATATTGTTTGCAATCAATGGCCCGCTTTTGTGGAAGTATTTTGTAGTATAGTGTCCCATTGAAAATATTGATTCCGAAAGGAAAGTAATGGTTTTCTGACAAATCTGTTGGGTGTACTCATTTATGCTGAGCACTGTATATATAGGTACATGTAATGAGTATGTTGAAGAGTGAAGAACCCTTCGTCCTTGACACATTCAGGAGAAAATACTAAGCTGTGAAAGAGTTAAACAGATCAAACGCTTTCCTCTACCAGAACTGAGGAGGTTTTCTTATTGCCATTTTCCCTGTGTTTACCAATCACCAGTCCACGCTGTCACAGGAGCAATTCACACAGCTATTTACTGTAATGGTTTGGGGATAAAATAATCCTAAATCTTACGCTCTTTGACTACATTTTTCACACTGAGCTGTTCCATGAATTCTTTTTGCCGTTGACACAGCCATTTGCAAGGACCCTGTTATGTATTTTGCTGAGTTGCATTGTATGCTCGAGT